GTCTTCAAAATACACCTGCGGGTGCAGCCTGGGGATGGGGGAATACAGGGTTATCAGCCAGTGACAAATGACAATTTTGGTGAGATGTATTCTGAAAGTTTCAATAATAATAGACAAAACAGTTTTAAACTACTTTGCATATAATACCTATATTGGCTCTCTAAGGACTAAAAGAAAACTCTGCAACTTACACTTCATTCAGTTGGAAAGATTTAACGTGTTCAGTGGAGGAAATAACTAACAACTCAGCTCATGCGTGAACGTTCAAACGTGGTATTGTTCTTGTGTGTATGTGACCGAGGAACCACTGATAGCACAAGGTGTCAAAGATGTTTGACTACAAATTTAGCTTTGAAATACATCTGCGCACAACTTTTGATTTTAAAGTAACACCCTCACAGTTTTGTAAGCATCTGTACCTATCAAAATTATACAGAGCGTGTCCTAAACTTCTTGCCTAATTTTAAATTCAAATTTAGGCTCTTCGTGATTTTAAAGAGGTTCAACTTGGAAGCAACATGTTAACGCTGGACTCACCTCAGGTGGTTCCAGGCAGTAGATTTGCCTGGCAGGTGACATGTCTGCTTTGGATGCACCTGCAGCCATTCTGGAGGTTAGGTCCATGAGGTCGGTCAGCTCCATGGGTTGCACAAGAACACGAGAAAAACAGCACTTCCAGATCTTACAAAATACATTCGCAATCGTTCCAAACTCACAATTCAGCAGACAAAGAAAAAAAATCGTTTAAAAAAAACTACACAAAAACACACAGGTCGCGACCCACACGTCACCGAAAACAAACCGGAAACTGACCTCTGACACTCTGACGAGCAGTGCCAAGCAGGGCTGCCAACCTCGTCGTCTCGACATCCCTGCGCGATGCCGAAGACGAGCAGCCATTTCGATTCAAAATCAATCTCACCTACCAGAAGAGCTGTTCCCATTTCTGGTCGCGAAACCGCCGCCGCCGCCGCGGGTGAACGGCGTGCATCGCGCATCGCGGCCTCAAGGCGGGCGGGGCCGGGGGAGAGAGAGAGGTTGGGGGTGGGGGAGGGGCCAGCACCGCGGGGCCAGCCAGGGGCCAGGGGCGGCCAGCACGGGATGAGCCCAGCCCCCCGGGGGGCCACGGGTCACCTATCCATCATATCCTGGTCTCTAGCCGCGCATTTACGGCCACAATTACACCCGCAATTAAATATTCCGGTGGTTTTGAAACACGAGTGAGCAACCAGACGGGCAGGCGGCACCCCCCGCACCACCCGCCGAGCCGATCCCGAGCTGCTGATCAGAGGCAGCAGCAGCAGCAGCAGCAGCAGTAGCAGCGGTGGCGGCTGGGCCGAGTGCGGCTCCCGCGCGCGCCCCTCCTCGCCGTCGTGTCCTCCTTCTCGTTCCCCGGGACCGCTGCCGGTGAGAGTACGAGTCCACGCTGCATTTATTCTCCCCCCGCGCGCGCCCCAAGGTCGCGACGCCGCCACGCGGCCGACGCGGTCAGATAACTCACCCGGAGGTCAAAAGGCTCTGGATTTTCGGTTTCAAGTTTCAGGAATAAATTATTGTTATTGATCTCTGTGTGCTGCAGGACGGCGCGGCGGCGCAGAGCGGGGCCACCACCGCAGCGGTGACCGCGCAGCAGCGGCTGTTTTGGCCCGGCGTTACGAGGACGCTGCTTTACCGGGGCGAAAGCCACAATTAGAAGCATTGCGCATTTTAATATTTTCCTTTTCGCTGACGAAGCTTTTTAGCCGAGTGGCAGTACAGCGGCCGCGGGAGCTGAGCAGCAGTCTCGCGCTGACACGTACCTGCCAAGCAGTGAAAGGGGGATCCGGAAGGAACGAGGGACTCGGTGGCGTTAAGTGGACCTGAGGTGGGGAGAGGCGGGGAGGGGCGGGGAGGGAGGGGGTATGCAAAGCGGAAGAACAACGGCGACTACTTTATTTCCTGAGAAATACAGAGCGCAAGTAGTTGCGCGTTACACATCGTCTACAAAGAACACTACACTACTGATTCGTCAGGATCACGTCGCAGTCCGCGAGGTCAATGCAAAAGTCTGATTGATGCTAAGGGCTGGTTTTGATGTCAAGTTGACTGACAAGATTGATGTCAACATTCCTGCATGAAATCACAAACCATCCCCTCGGGATGACTAAATTATTTTGACATAGTCCTTACACTCGTGTCATTTTGCAGATCCCAGAGATCCCTGGAGTCAGTCAGGTGGAGGTGTCGTTGCGCCGCCGTGCTCCGCGCTTGCCAAGGTGCGGTAAGCCCGGGTACGCAAGCACAAGATCAAACATCATCACAACGCTCTTCTTCTCCAAGGGTCCTTGAAATACCCTCGATTCACCGTCACGCAGGGCGAGGGGTACGGCATCGGACCGCCGCGTCCTTGGGGGTCGGGCGGCGCGGGGCGAGCCAGGGCAGAGAATATGTCGGTCACATCGCATTGTTCTGCCGCCTATGAGGTCAGAGTGTGTTGTACTTGCAGGCCTCCGCACTCCAGCCGCGCCCCGCCCCGCCCCGCCCCACCCCACCCCAAGTCCGCGCCGCCGCCACACCCACGCCGCCATCCTTCGTCTGATCTGCGCGTACATGCGCGAGTAAGCGCCTATTGCTCTTACGAGCCGCTCTCGGCCCGCTCGCCCGTCCGTCCGTCCGAATGAAGACGTACTGCCCGTCGTGACTGCTACTAATTCGCATGTCAGATGGGCGTAACCCCCACGCGGCGGCGGTGCTCGCTCGCTCAGAGATAGACTGCTGCGTACAGACGGCACGGGCGTGCGGGGGAGTGAGGCGGCGGAGCATAGAGGGCCTCGTCATGCCCATCCGAAACCTATACAACATGTAAATCAAGAAGCTGTCGCTCGCCCCGCCGCGCGCTCCTCTCTTGCGCCCTCCCCTGGCGTTCAACTCTCCGCGCGCCGCGCCACACCGCAGGAGCGCGCGTTGTGCGCGCGGCTCCGCGAGGATGACGTTCAGATCTGGCCGCCCGTCTGATACCATCGCTTTGGCGGCTGGGCGCGCGCAGCTCTGAGCAGCTGGTGGTGGTGGTGGTGGTTTGGGTCGGCACGCCCTCCCTGCCATCACAACAGCTTATTCACTCGACTATCAGAGCCGCCCCACGCGCGCGCGCTCCACCACCGCACGGACGCAGCACGGCGGCGGCGGCGGCGGCGGCTCGACTCGTCAAAACCGAGCATCACGGCTGCCGTCACACCGACACCGCCGAGTGTGACAGGTGGAGGTGCGGGGGCGGGGGCGGGGGCGGGCTTCGTAGGTGAATAACTACTTGCGACGGGCGCCCAGTAAGATGATTAGATGTGACACCGTCTCTGACCTGTTGGCTCAGGGACTACTATTGCCTTCAAATAAAATGTGGCAGTCGAGGGCAGTAGGGGTGAAGCGTATTTTTTGTTCATCACCAGATGTGCATGTTGCATCGAGCCCTGTTTAATGACGGCCTTTCGTTTTTCTGGGTGAACTATACCTTTGGAGGAGTTCTCTGAGCGTGTGAGACTGACGCTGTTTCGTATTTAACAAGTAGTTATGATGGAATGTCGCAGTTTCTCTGCGCACGCCACTGAGCAGGCGACAAAGGTGGTCACTGTACCCCCTCCCTCTTTCTGGGCGCTGCGCCGATCGGGTCCACGGGGGGACTGTGCGCTGTGGGTGGGGCCGACGGCTAACCCCACAGGTGAGCCCAGAGTATCGCAACAGGGCGGCCGATGGTCGCCGATGGCACCGCACTAGGCAAGAAGCGTGGCGCGGCGGGGCGGGGCGGGGCGCGGCGGGGCGGGGCGGGGCGCGGCGGGGCGGGGCGGGGCGCGGCGGGGCGGGGCGGGGCGCGGCGGGGCGGGGCGGGGCGCGGCGGGGCGGGGCGGGGCGCGGCGGGGCGGGGCGGGGCGCGGCGGGGCGGGGCGGGGCGCGGCGGGGCGGGGCGGGGCGCGGCGGGGCGGGGCGGGGCGCGGCGGGGCGGGGCGGGGCGCGGCGGGGCGGGGCGGGGCGCGGCGGGGCGGGGCGGGGCGCGGCGGGGCGGGGCGGGGCGCGGCGGGGCGGGGTGGGGTGGGTTAGGCCTCCCAGGGCGCATGCGCACGCTCCGTGCCGACACACCAACCAACAGCTGGAAAAGTCAAGACCGCGCGCCACCGCCACTGCGGCGACGGTTGACACGAAACCGCAAAAATAAAGAAAAAAGGAGAATCACAATATGTAATAGAAAAAGGCGGAGGGAAAAGTAGTGGCTGTTAAGCATACACTGTCACTGCTAGCTGCATTTAGGTCCCCGGTGGCCGCGAGGTGGCACACCGGGCGTCACGGCAACGAGCGTGTGCAATTGCATGTTTGTTTGCTGCAACACCGCAGCAGACGATCCACTGGAAATAAATAATCCAGAGCAAAACTTTCGCGAAATTTTCGCGGCTGTAAGGTGATGTGTTTATGCCCCTCACAAGTGGCTGCCGCCCCGCCCCGCCCCTCGGCAGCGAGCGCATGCACGAGCGGCTCGCAGCGATTGACGCGTTGATTCGAGTTGACCCGCGCCGAGCCGGGCCTGGCGCGGCGGCAGCGACCAAGATGATGTGGCACCCGTCGGGCCATCAGAGCTGCCAGCTGTAATGGGCTGTAGTGGCTGCCGCACTTTGGTTTTAGTATTACTACTACTATTGTTACTACTATACGGGGTGCATGATAGCAGGCGGGATATTCCCGCAGAGCCACGTAGCTTTAGGTGGTAGTAGTAGGCGCGGTCGCGCACTTCTAGAGCTGCCCCGGGGGTGGAAATAAGCCTCCAACTATTCGTACTCTGCAGTCCAAGTTCCTTGCAGAAGTTCATTGAATTTTGCCTCGTCGTATTGCTAAAACACTTTAGACGAAGTTAATTAAAGTTCACCAAGAGTTCCATCACAGTTGTTCAACTTATTATTTTTACCAAAATAAGTTCAACAAAGTTCAAAAATAATTGCTCAATGAAGCAAAGCTCTCCTGAAAAGTGGATCCGGCGTGGAGCCCCTCTTGTTAGAATAACGTCGAGGAGGTTTCAAGCCTCTTTACCGCCTGGAGGAGCTTTGGATAACGGCTGTAGCCGAGCGTGCCAGAGTGGAGAGGAGAGGAAAGCATTGTAATCGGCGGGGCGGGGCGGGGCGGGGCGGGGCGGGGTGGCCGGTGAGCCCAGCGGAGCGCCCGGCCGGGCCGGGCTGGGCCCCCCCGGAGTCTTGGAGGCCCGCATTGAGTCAGTCGCGCCGGAGCCGCCGAGCCGAGCCGCGCCAAACGAGATACCATCCGCGCCATGGGTGTGAGGAGCCGCGCCTGCGCCGGCCGCGGGGACTGTGCAGTGCACCGCGCGATGCGCCTCGCCGCCGCCGCCGCCGCCGTCCTGCTCTGCTGGACCACAAGTAAGTCGTCGTCGTCGTCGTCGTCGTCGCGGTCCTCGCCCGGGTGCGGGAGCGCCTCTCTGCGTGCGAGGGAGACAGACCTCCGCCCGCAGCGCAACAAGCCCCTCGTTACGCGCCACCAGACGAGGGGCTTAAGTCCGCATGACGCGAACTGGCCGGGCCGGGCCCCGAGTAAATCCATTTGGCCCGCGGCTGCGGCAGCGGCAACATTCACCAACGACCCTTTAACAAACAAACAAAATTACAATCTAGTATATATTTTTTAATGCGTTCGTGAAAGGGAGCAGGGGCCAACCGCGACCATATTGTGGTCGCACTGCAACGATTGGGTGTCAAATTCAAATGGGGTTTGCGGGTGCCGTAAATGCTCGCGCAGGTGAGGCCGGTTACCCCGCGGTCATCACGAGTAGAGGGAAGCCCCGCGGCGGACAGGTGATCGCGGCTGGACCCGGAGGCTGCAGGCAAGAGCCCGCCGCCCCCGACGCCGCGGGCCGTCGCGTCAGACGCTAATTATTGGCCGAGTTCGCCGACCGGATCGCACCGTCTGGTGTCTCCGCGCAGTGCACCGTGATCGCTCGGCGGCCTGGGGGGCCCTCGGCCGGGTCATAGGCAGGCCATAGAGGGGTGTACGTGAGTGAGTGAGTGAGTGAGTGTGTGTGTGTGTGTGTGTGTGTGTGTGTGCGTGTGAGCCAGTGCGTGTGTGAGTGCCTGGAGTGAGTGTGCGGCTGAGGGCAGTGGCTTTCAAGTATGGGACTTTCACCCTGCAGCGCTCGGCCTTGGGACGAGGGGGTGCGTGGCGGCGTACGGCGGCGCGGCGTACGCGGCGAGGCACCGCCTCCACGGCGTCATTTCCATTTCGACTTCCGATGTCCGTCCGTTATATTTCTCCACCCTCTTTCTCTCTCTTTAACACTTTGAATCTCTGACGCTCGTTATTGTTTCGTAATGATACTACAATCAATAATCAATAAGGTGCGCGGTCAATGCATAATTTCTCTTTCCTCCGCCTCTGTCTCTCTCTCTGTCTCTCTTTCTCGCTCGCTCGCTCTTGCTCTCTTTCTCCACGTTATGTGATGCATGAGAAGGAGCCTACTCCATGACTCTCTGTCAGCGAGAGGAGAGAGATATAATACATTTCGTTCTCTTCTTCTCTCTCTCTCTCTCTCTCTCTCTCTCTCTCTCTCTCTCTCTCTCTCTCTTTCTTTCTCTCTCACTCTCTCCCCTGCTCTCTCTCTCTCCCTCTCTGGCTCATTGGTCCAGCCTGTTCGCGCCACGCAGCGTGATCCCTCAATTACGGACTGCGCCTCATTACTCTGATCAGCGGTGTGGCGGGGCGGGGCG